GGCGGCGAAGCGTAAAGGAAGGTTATGATTTTGGGCCGGTATGTCAGTTTGTTTTGTTATGATCAGTGGCATACGACTACGCGGACCTATGGTCAGTTGTATATCTACGCCTAGAAACTATTTCTATTGAAGCTGAGTGGAGAAACAACGCGGAAAAAAGGAATTTCATTATTTGTTTGTATACAACGCTTTATTTCTAAGTAGGCCTAATAATTACATAGAACGCTACACGTGGTTAAAATATAGGGATAATTGAAAAGGACGTCACTTTCGTACATCTCCTGCCCGTGAAATAATGCGAAGATATACAATACCTTTTCAATTTTTTGTCCCAAAGAAAATGCTTTACGCGCTATCACTGCTACATGACCGGCGCCAGAGTGAATTATCAAAGGTTTGATAATAGGAACGACTAATTCTTACTTGGTAGATTGTTTAAAAGTATTAAACACTTATTTTTTTAATTTCTTTCGTTATCATTAATGTCACATGACGTCACGCTTTTGTACATTTTCTACAAAACTGTGAGTCTCCTCTACTTTAATGTAAAAAAAAGTATCTAATATCTCTCTATTATCTAACTGACGGACTAAATTACTTTTTTTTTTTTACCCAATCGTCATCGATGCACGTTCAGAAACTACAAAGCAATAAATTGTTCTTATGAATACACATCACAATACGCGAACAAAACAATTTATTATTGTGAACTTTCATTATATCGACCGACCTACTTAATAAGAACACTCAACTCCGACTAGTGTTGGAAAATTCACACCGACATTGCGAACCGATATGACGCCAATAAATAAATGCAGTGAAACAGGAAGGAGATAGATGAGCATCGTTGCAAAAAAAGTATAAGTCTCATTATCTCATAACGTAACAGAGTTATATATGTAAATATTTTCTATTTACAAATATAATCCAATGTCCAAAGACTTTGACGCTGCACTGGAGGCGAACTGATACGATTTTTAACGGACTGGAATAAATTGCCAGCGTCTGTATTTCCGTCCGATTATAATGTGAATGTCTTCAAATCAAGAGTGAATAGGCTGTTACTAGGTTAATGCGCTATACCACCCAAGGCTTCATCACCACTTACCATCAGGTGGGATCGTAGTCGAGCGCTAATCTATAAAAAAAAAATTATGAGCCAGCTACAAAAACCATTTTCTCTAACTTTTTTATATCGGTGTCATTATGTCATATACTATGCAAATTTATTATCGCGATAATGTCTTGATAAATATATTTTGTATATTCATATAACACTACACAAACTTTGTATTTTAGGACTTACTTAAAAACTATATACCTAATATGGTTTTTCTGATAGAGAAAATTGTTAATGGACCTACAAAAACAAAATAAAAAAGATTATGCACCCCCTTTTAATTTATTCACATTTTCACGTCACTTTATGTTAAATGTGATTTACAGTTAATTTTTTTGTTTATATAATTTATATAATGTAAAAAAAAATACTTATTTATGTATTTAAAAAATTGTTGCAACTACGGATAATTATCTTATAATTATCATGATAGTTATCCAATTAAATAATCATCTTGATAATTACGAATCCTGAAATTCGGATAGCCTTCGATAATAAAAATAAAAAAGCTAAAATTGTAATAACAACGAATAAAATATACAAGACGTGCCTATGCTCACAATAAATTAACTATCGAAGTAGATATATGACTTTACCTGACATCCATTCCAGTTCCGATCACTTTTATCGTTCAGTCTCCTGAAGCAGAAACACGTTTACCACACCAGTCAACATTTTAGAGGAATTTGGAACACATTCGTATTTCCACCCTAATGGAATTGGGGATCAGGAATGGCCGGCTCATAAAATAGAGTGAGTCAACGAAAATGATAAGCCTCTATTGGACGTTGTCAATTCCCATCTATATTCAGGTGAGTTCAATAATTATTTTCATGTGACAGGTCAAAGAAATCCCACTCAAATTATGAGGTATTGTATGTATTCAATCACGCGTTTAGGGTTTGTATAATCTACAATCGTCAATCCGTACCAGTTCAAAGTGGGGTCCTCAATATGTACACAATCGACGAATTGCCAATTCCCCGAGTCGCCCAATTCGTGAGTCCTCCGACAGCTATGTAAACTGTGAAAGTCAACAATTTAAAAGATTCCCTCGGATGTTCTTTCTTTTATTAAAATTGAAGGCACGAAGTCCCAAATTGTATCCGAAATTGACTTCAATTTAACAGAAAATACACAGAGTTAAGTATTGATCACGTTGTAGGTACTCAAAACCGATAGTTTGTTGTATAGTAAATTTGATTAGATTAGGCTCGGTATTGCTTTTATCCGTTAATGGTTATTTTGATTAAAGTCTTACAGGAACTACGTATTCCTGAATATCTTCAACTGTATTAAATAAATTGCTTACACGATGCTCTATTCAATATTGTTTGTTTTCCTAATTATCACGTGCCCACCTGCCATGGCTAATTAGGTTAATTTGATTGGGGTTCGTAACGGAGTCGTAATCTATAATGAATAAGTTCGAATCCTCCGTTACCAACTATATTATTATCACAGACTATGTATTACAATAGAGTTAGTAACGTATCTTGTGAATTATACTAAAGATACGATAATACAATACAATTATGTCTCGGATCACATATTATTGTGATAAATTGTTCTACAACTACAACTACATTATTAAAAAAAACATAAATTACTATTACTCATCTTTTTAATGTTTTATCAGTTTTTTTTTGCCTATAGGACTCGTGAGGACGAGGAACACATGAATGCACAAAAATATAATGTTGTAAACTTCCATTTCCTACATGCATATTCGCATACTTTGGAACCAATAAAATAATTAAATTCTACGACGGCTTTTTTATAACAAATATCTGACAATCATCGCCGATTATTTCTATTCTAAGTAAAAACCGTGTTTAATCCTAATAGATGTTTTAATTACCATTCTGTAGATAAATAGAAACATTTGTTTACAACGGCTCATTGCAGCGCCCGTTATGTAATCAACGAAACAACTACCTAAGAACTATTGCCAATGAACCGCAAACATTTTACGGAAACCGTATCTAAATCGTTAAAACCGTTTCGAAGATAAATGGGAACATTTGATTGCACATATAAACAAGCTCGCACTCTAAACTCATACACCCTGCTCCGATACGTTGAGTTAACAATTTATTTGACCTTGCATAGCCGGTGTTGATTTAATACTTCCAAACGTGTTCGGCTTCACAAACAGTTTCTATAAATTTTATGCATACCGAGTAACGCGACTATATGCATACTGAGTAGATACCCCCAACAAATTCAGTATTTCATTTGAGTAATAGTTATTTACGAGATTGCTACCATGTACCGTGTTTTTATTAAGTCCCAGATATTTGGGCACTGTTACATGCCATGATCACCAAGCGGATTCCGCTGAGTGCTTTCGATAACCCACTAGCGTTCTCGCTCTAACAACTGTAGCGTTACCATGAGTTTACAATGACCGTACTCGCTAGCGACTGCGTAAAGATTTGTATGGAGAACTGTACAGCGCTCCTAGCGGTCACTTGTGAAACTAAAGATTGCTAGTATGAGTCCTATAGTAAATTTACCTATCGAAAGCCAATCGCTAGCGACTAACGTTTTTTACGTTCGTAGCTTATCCCATAGAACATCGGTACCATGAGTTACAAATTTGATAAACGTCATCGAGAAATACCGTAGCGACTGTAGTTAACTCTCTCACTTGCAAAACGTAGCGTGAAAACTTATTACTCTTGTTAGAGTATTGTTTAATAGATTATTTTCAGTTATTATTGACCCAAATAATGTCAACTAGGCATTATATGTATCATAAGCTGTATATGAAGACAAACGACGAGAACAGAGAAAATTTGAAGCGGATATGAGAAATATTAGTGAGAATAATTTTATCAAATAATATAGGCTTAATAAGGAGTGTTTTGGTTTACTAAGGTCACGATTTCTGTTAAAACATTAAAAAGGGATCCGTGATACGGATAACAACAAAAATAAATAAATGAATGTTTAAATAAATGAACGGGGTTAGATCGATAGCATTGGATTAGGTTGTATATTCTTACTATATTTCAAAAATTTCATAAACTGCGTCTATTTTAAAATTTTTATGTTTGATAAATTACAAAAAACAATGTATTATATTATTAAAGTCCCGCTAAAATTTACCTTAACCAAATAATGAGCACTCAGCATTCCTTAACTTTATCTGAACACTCAAACAAATATTTCGTCTAAAAAACTGGAGGACTACATTTTACTGTACAAAGTATATTCTAGGTATTAAATAATATAATAGAATTGTATTGAAGTACATTCCTTTCCATATATTCAACCAATAACTGTATTTGTGATACACTACTCCGCATTTAATGTTTAGATATTATGCACAATTTACCAAAACAACCGCCAGTCAAGAAACAGAAATACTCAATGATTTGTCACAACACGGAAATAACCGAATCAATTCAATAATCAGTTACACTTCGCGTTATGAGAATGATCAATGACGCTTAAAATTAGTAGGGTTTCATCTACTTTTTAAATTTGAAGATCTAAATAGTCGGTTTTTAGCCCAAAGTCATCCTTTCTCACTCTATTCAGCATAATTAGAACGAGACAGTTTCATTTGGAGTGAAGTTAGGCGCAAACACGGTCACGTAACAAAAACTATTCGAATGTTCGAGTTAACGTTAGCGAGTATAGTAAATGTAAATGTGACTCATGGTACAACTTCTATCGACTACTATTCGAAGTGCGTTTATTCGCTAGCGACTGCGGTAACGTAATGAGAATTTTCGATAGCAACTCATGGTAGCGCTACTGGCGGTTCTGAGCGATAGAATGGAAAGAGCGAGAGAATGAAGTGATAACTGCTGGATGGAACTCGAGTCTAAATGGTTTATTCGGTATATAATATGGATAGAATACTTACTATAGTAAGGCAGGCGGCTATGCGGACGACCCGCAGTGACTCTCACGTGGCGAGCACATTCACCTGTTCACAATACGCATTTTACAATCGTTTAATAATTTAGCAACCATGACACTAAGTTCTATCTTTTCACATACTAACTAAAAAAAATCATCATTATTATCGTGTTTTTATAGATTTAAATTTTATGACAATAATAAACTACCTTCAACACATCACACATTTGAAGCAGTAAAAAATTCATTTTATATATTTGACTTTGAAATATGATGTCATATTTTACACCATCTCCCGCTCCCCTCCTAAAGTGTGACGTAATTTATGGACGAACTCTAACCCAGATCATGTAATATTGGTATTACAATTAAATCATCGTGGCATATAAATAAATGTATTTCAGGTATCAAGGGGGAAAGTCAGAAAACGTGAGTTAAATGGCAAATCACACATAATGACATTTTACACCTCACTGGAAAGATATTTATTATCTGTGCGATTTAGCAAAATTGTCCAATCACGATGTTATGATGACATTGCGTACATCTTTCTAATATCGCATACGCATACCATGAGTCAAATATAAACTTCTACATTATGAAATATTAATTTAATATTAAATAAATAATATAAAACTAAATTTAGTCTTATTTGTGGCAAAAAAAAACATTTTATTACTTTACCAAACTAAAACCCCATTTTAGTGGCAAGATAATATTTATAACATGATTGAATGAAACTATTCTGTGTGCGATATATGGATATGAATATTTTATCGTAAAGCTATCAACACTAAGCGTAATATTAGATTCAAACAAATACGATAAGAACGATATTTATTACATGAACATTTATTTTTTTCTAACTGCATGATTAAAACATTTAAAAGCCTCCAAATTTTATTTTATATAATGTTCTTTTCAGTCTTCATTTACTCGTGTATTGGAGCTGTTTCACAAGTTAAATCAAAGTTTGATTAATATTCGATATAAAGTGGCAACAGGGAGGTAGTACAATGTGTAAGGTTGTCATATCATAGAGTGGCCAACGGTCTTATTTTTCCAGGACATGTCCTGTTTTATGGTAATCTGGGAATAGTGTTTAAGTAAAATCCTGAGTGCGCCTTGTTTAAAATCAACTATTTTGAAATTAACAAAGCGTTTGCAATAGTTACGTTACGGTTTAAGAGTACCTATTTGTTATGCAAGATAGACCTTTTTCGGTTATTTATTAAGTTACTTTTTTCTAAGTTACTGTTTTCTTATTAAATTGTACCGCGTTTCCAATTTTACGTCCTAGTTTTTGAAAGTTGAGGTTGGCAACCTTATCTTTTTAAAATGTTGCCTGCCAGCAAAATAATAAGATCGTAACATTGCCGGAATACACTCACCGTATTCATTATTAGACTATACGAACCAATATCGCGAAGGCTCTTAAAGCATAAACCAATATCCTCCCCCCATCCCCTCCCCCGACATATACCGTGATTCGAATGCGACACATGTCAAATTCCGACGATGGCGTCGTCGTCGGTATCATAATTAATTTAATTTTCATGTCGATGTCGGCCTGTTGGCTCAGAGTACTTTTCGTGTAAACGCTAAAAGGGTGCAAATTTGAGTTTGTCGATTTCAGCCGAAATATGGAAATACACTTTTATACGTATCTATTTTATATTGTGGTATTATTGCAGATACGTATAACATGTAAAAATTAATAAGTAAAAGTCATTAAACGACATCACGTGGATCCCAAATTTATTGATATCCATATCAGAGTGGTTTGTACACGTGTTTCGAGGTATCGTCATTTCTAAAAACCCGGTTCGAGTCCATACGATAAAGGAAATTTAAATTTCTTTGTTTTGGGTTGTGGTAACTTTTTGTTTCAGATGTCCATAAACCATAATCTGGTTAATTTTTTCAATTGATTTTAAACCTTAATCTTTATAAGATAGAGTTTTAAATCTACAGGAGTAATTTGTCATATTGTGGAAACCTGACGTGCAGCTATGTGTACTATCATCATTATTATTATCACGCCCTATCAAGACCATCGCGATCACTGAAGATTTTCTGAAATTGAAATATGTTAATTGATTGAATATTTTATTAACTTTTTACAGCATTTATTTTTAAAAAAAATATATGCATATCCTTTAGGTTTTTGTGCCCCTAATACGTGTAATAATAATACTAAACAGCATACGCTCTGCAAATTTCTGGTATCTAAGTATTGTTTATAACCGCCTATCAGCCTTACAGGGTACCTAAACAAAACGATATGCCCCTAGCATTTTTTAACGCAAGGAAAATTGGAAGGGGGAAGAAGGGAAGGAACCCGAATCTAGCAAGGAGCCCGCCAGACTCAATATGTACCTACCACAAATCAATATTAAAATTATCTAGATCTATTATAACCTTCGATTAAGAAATACATAACTTGTGAATAAATTTGTCGTTTAACGTTTATGGACGGCATCAAGTACATACCCTACATCACACAAAACCATTGAGACCAGTGCTCTACATGTCACCAGATAAATACCCCGCTCAAGAACATATTGCGCAAAAGAGAATTTATTTAAATGTGCTTTCTAACCAATCAATACAAATCTTGTACCTATAATAGAGAAATCTGTTACTCGATCATATCATATATCAATACGATAATTTAATATGTCGTTAAATAGAGATTGAATGAACTTTTATGCAGTCAAAAGACTGAATTGACCTTATGGAGTCTAACGACAGGTTTTTTGGACGCTTAATTTAGAGATTAAACTTTTATGCAGACTAAAGACTGTTTGAATTGACTTTTTGGAGTCTAACGACAGGTTTTTTGACGCTTATTAATTTTTTTGTCACTTTTATCTGATATTATGACGGCATAGGTATGATAAATGCTCATTCGTGGAATCGAACAACATGAAACCGTTCATAACGATAGCCAATTACAGAAAGGCGACGGCTTTTGTCTTTGATATAATATCTACCTGCGAATTCTCCATAACGTATTGTTTATTCACATTCATACTAATTATCCTTTTGTGCAGTATCAAAAGCAGTGATTATGAATGACAATAGACTTAAAGACACCTTGAAATAAGTACAATTTTTAGGGTTTCGTAACAAGGCCGGGTTCCGAAAAGGTCATATAGTGGACCATATTTATAAATTGCGCCAAGATATTCAGAAGACTTTCGTAGACTACGAGAAAGTCTTTGATTCGATCAAGACATGAGCGGAGATGCAGTCTCTCCAAATGTGTCATGTGGATTACAGATACAAGGTGCTAGTGTCTGTATGAGAATGATATTACTACCACGTCGGTCCGTTCACAAAACCAGAACTCTAATTCTATCCAATCGCAGCCAGGCGTGACCGCGTGAGGCAAGGAGAAGTTTTCTTTCCGAAGCACTGATATAGGTGACATCCTAAAGAAATGTTATATTCAACAGTGAAAATTGCATTGCAATTGGGTTGCGTGATTTGGTAAAAAGAACCCAATGAATGCAGAGAAGGAATTGAAGACGCGCTGAGAGACATACGGTCATTTGCACAAACGTCCATTAAGGTTTAATGATGCCTTAAAGCTCTAATGAATATCAAATATGTATGGGTAATATCGCTTTAAACCAAAGGTTCCCAAACATTTTTTTCTCGTAGACTTATTTAAAAAATGTACTGGTTTCGGTGGATCCCCTGCTGCTACATTTTTACCATATTCCCAAAATTCGTACAAAGTGTGAAAATCTAACGATAGAAATTGGCGCCCTATTTTTATTTCACGCCAACGTAGACACCCCCGTTGAATCCCTCGTGGACCCCTAGGGGTCCACCTGGACCACTTAGAAAATCACTGCTTTAAACTAATGAAACGTTGGATGTTTGTGTAACTGGCTGTATGTAGTAATACGGATAAAGAACTGCATTGAATTAAATTTTTCATTACCTCGTGTGTTCATAAGTTTTGAGCCCCTTTAAAAAAAAAAGTTTGACGCATTTACAAAATTTCAACACGATGTATTTAGTCACGTCTTTCTTCAAACCAAGAAGAGCAGTGTTTTTGTTTATTTTTGACTTTCATTCAAATTTTTTGAGCTGTTTAATGTTCTAACAGCCACGAATAATTAATTTTAATTCTTACTGATTTAATATTACTTGCAAGTTGGTCAAATACATGAGTTTTGTCTAATAGGTCCAAATATGCACATTCTGACCATAGTTATGTAGTGTATAAACTAATTCATCAGTAGCAGTGTCTTATTTCAAAATATTAATGTTCCAGTCATCACACATCACTATTTTTTTATTCTTATATCTAGTTGTAAACAAACATATAAGTTTATCCAATTTGTGTAAATATATACCATGTGTGATTTTGTTTGAACTGGTATTTTGTAAATATTTTCAATTATAAACCCTACTCCTACAACATTCAAAATAGTAATCTGTAGCTATACCTGAAATAGACAGTACTGATTTTGCCTCTAAAGTATTATTAAACAATATACAAATCCCGCACCGGGATTTTTTACGACAAAAATTAGCTATCAACTTATAATTACTCAACTTAATGTTTGCCTTCCAGCCCTCATGAATAAGTTTGAGGTTGCGAATAAACAAACAAACAATCAAATCTTTCGTCTTTATTATATTACCTCGTTTCTATCTCCTTTTAATAAATGTAGGAGCATTCTGATGTCTACATCATTTCAATTTGGGTTTTAACATTATTCTATAAATTATGCTTCTCTAGATATACCTTATTAGAACTTCTGTTATCTTGGTTATTTACAGTATTGATAATGTTATTTAAAACGATTAAAACTAAATATATTAGTCCAGTTTCTGTAGTGAAATTGCGAACACTAACATTAATTCCATAGGAGTTTAAATACCTTGTGTGTACATAAGTTTTGAGACGAAATAAAAGTTGCGTAACTTTTTTAATAATTAACTTATATAACAAAAATTTTCAGTAACCATTAAATAGATAATAATCAACAATAAAATATATATTTTATTCAATATGACCGCTCTTGTTTTTAATACAGGCCCTTA